AAAAAAATATTTAGAGGCCGCTCAAAGCGTGATTTACATAGTGTGTGAGGAAAAAAAATGTGTTCGTAGAAATGGTATAGAAATTTTGAAAATCAATTTTTTCAATCGGAAAACTTTGTATATCTTCAAACAATTGAGTATTATTACTGGAAGTCTCCCGAAGAGAAACAGAGTTCTTTGATCGAAAAATATTGATTTTATTGAATTGAGCGACCTACAAATATTTTTTGAAATCGAATTAAAAAAGAGGGGTACACTTATTCCATTTAGAACAATCCTAGAGGGCGGGAGCATTAACGTTCCGACCTTTCCCCCCCCCAACATGCATATTTGGACAACCCTAATGCTTATACTTATAATATAATTTTGAAAGGTGTTGGGTGTATAGAAGTGCACTTGAAATATATAACTAACAATTAACAAGATAACCGATAGAAAGAATTCGTTGGTATCATTAAGAATAATTTCACAGAATTCCCAAGCCATACGTTGTTATTTGCTAATGACATGAGACAATTGGACCATACAAAGTGGGATGGAACATTTCAAACTAGTGCGGTGAGTCTTTGTAGTGCGAGTAGTAAATATTAATTAAAATTTACTATTTTTTTTAATTCATTGGATAAAAAATAAGCAAGAGGGAAATGTTCTTATTGAATAACACAAAAATATTAACTTAAAAAAAACGGGAATGCTTTAACTTCTGGTGGTATAACCGACTTCCAGTTTCGATCCGAAGTGCATTATTTTAACCGTAAGTCCATTCTAGAAAAAAAATTGTCTAAAAATATTTATGTGCATAGTATGTTTGTCCGCAGGATCCGAATCTGTGAACAAACTTCCGGTCGAAAAATATACCTTTTATGAATATATGCGCCGGGTACATGAAGCTGTCTTGCGAATGAACTTACACTTTTAGTCGTTTTAATACAATTTAAATTACTTTTTAGCGCGCTTACATGTTTGCAATCATTTTACTGATTATTTTTAATTTTAAAGTCTCGAGGAAACGATGCCTTCTAGTATTAAGCAAACTAGGAGCACCGATATAGATATGTATGTATGTACTAACATTTGTCAGAATAAATGTTGCAAATTATGTATCTTTTTTGTGATTAAGAACTACATACGTATTACTTATGTTTTGTTGATATATTCGATATGTATGTATGCATATCACACACATTTTTCCAAAAGTGTATTAACTCAAAAATTGCAATTTTTCATATAATGCACTAAGTTGTAATTTTTCGCGAAAAAATCACAGTAAAGATCCCCTTCCCCATATGATTGAGATGACCACAGAAATCGTTTTTGACGGGTTTTGACAAACCAGCAATTTTGAGTTAATGCACTTTTGAAGAATGTGCGAGATATTTTGATGCATACATATGAACATATATTCAAGTTCAATTATATTATCAAAATTTAATCATCATTATTTTTTTGTAGCTTACGGGAACCCATGCACATTAGCATAATCTTACTAAAGTCTACATTGTACGTATGTACATATGTTCAAATCAATGTTTGTCTTTAGTGTGAACTTGCTGCAATCATATCTTCGCAATGACTGGATTTTGCAAAAACATATGTTTGTATATATGCATGTTTGTATGCACGTATGTACGTATGTGTATTTGCATATCTGTGCACTACAGCCATACATACATATGTAAGTATCTTTAATTTTCTTTAACTCAAACAAAAAAAAAATAGTTTTGCAACAAATCAGAAATCGTAAATTTTTACTAAAATCATATTTGGTCACATTTCTAAAGCAACTTTACTTCCTACTTACTGGCCTTGCCCGTTTCCCAGTGGGCGGTGTAAAAATCTGTAAGATTTGGAAAAATTTAAAAATTATTAGAAGCATTAAGTTCGCATATTTAGAATATACATACAAAATTTGGTATTCATAGCTTTAAAAACTATGGGGGAGAACTTAAGTCTTTTTTTGTTTTTTAGAAAAATGACTATACAATATTCCGACCATGCTACGTAAAAAAA